CAACTGAATTTAGAGCTCAGCTGTATGTTATCAAGAGGCACACCACCTATTTTAGACCCAAATTTAACTCCATCCCACGTAGCCTGTTATCCTACTTTAAATTAAAGCTGATAAGTCTGGAAAATTGAGACTACGAATAAATGTTCTGCTGAAAAATACATCCCCCATAATGTCAAACTTCATCTACTGTGCTCCATTTCTGGGTTTCTGTCATAATCTTGGAAGAAAGTGCGCTATGCCGATATCTTTAAAACAGATCATCAATAATACTATCTACAGCAGCAGTGGCAACATCAAGGATATCCAGGACAAAATACCAGAGTATTACCCACATGCAAGAAATACAGACGAAAACCTACTAGAAATCATAGTGATATCTTTATTATAGAACTGTCGTCAAGAAAACTTTGGGAGACATAAAAGAGTGATCTCCCTTTGTTTTGTAAAAAGTGTCATTCATCATAAATGCTAGAATTATTTTAACCCAAGACGTGACAGATGCACATAATTAGTATTTAAGAAGTTCCCTTCAAATCCGTTTTAATGTTCCAGTTTAAGACACTAGGAGCCAGGAAAAGAACATTCAGCTCCTATTTGAAAACACAGTATAAAAACCCGTATCAGGTGCTACATGTTCATGGGATGAAAGTGTGTTGGGCTGAACTGTAATTCAGGCTCTGAAGAAAATGTATTCATTGCGCAGAGGAACTCTGCAGGAAAAAATTATCTTTTGAGCACAATGAAGTTTAAGATAAATCTGTGCCTGACTTAACAAGCATCAGTCACAGAGATACTGTGTGATTTGTCTTCAGCTATCATTCAGTAACTTGACTGCAATAGAATTACCTCAGGAAAATCCTGCAATTTAGTTTATAGACTGAAATGTCAAAGGCAAGTGCCAAATTTACAATCAATCTTTAAGGTACCAGTTACACATGCTAATGAAGTAATTAGGGATGCAATCAGTGATCTGCATGTGCAAATGGCCATTTGCAACTCATATGTGCAGATACAACTCATACATGCAAATCTGGCAGACTAAATTTAGATTCTTTCTTAAGAAATTATGCGCCCAGTGCATAAATTACAGTCACTCTACAGGCTATTTTTATATTTCACCAAAATTCTGGGTACAGTTCAGAGGCAGGAGTTTTAAAAATTCACTCTAACTTTTAGTTTATAAAAAGGTTTATGTTTAATAACAGGTCAGCAATTTCCTGGTTGGGGGCAGCTGAAATATCAGAATCCAAATTAAATATACGCCCCAATTGCTTTCTTT